TATCTATCTATCTATCTATCTATCTATCTATCTATCTATCTATCGATCGATCGATCGATCGATCGATCCGTCCGTCCGTCTGTCTGTCTGTCTGTCTGTCTGTCTATCTATCTATCTATCTATCTATCGCACCAGGAGCCATAGCTCCTGATCGCACTGCAAGATGTTATTCCGATTTCTAAATAGCTTGCACTACAAATGTCATTTACACGGTCCCTTGCAAAGAAAGCCAAAAAGGATCCATCTTGGACAAACAATGTGGTAAAAAAAAAAAAAAACCGAAAAAGTGATTATCAAATTAAGCTGGAGTCGTGGCACATTGCTCGGCTAATGGAGCAGATAACAACTCCAGTCATTACCTCGGCAATACAGCACGCAATTATTTTACCCTAGCCTATTAACAATTAGTCTACTTTCACATGATTACACGTTCTTTTATCACCATCGTTGTACATTTTTACTCTGTTATTTTTTCACACTTGGCTGCGTTTATGTATTCATACATTCGTGTATTCGTTATGCAAGTACTTCGTTATTAAAAAGGCGGCAGCCTGATGGCCCAAAGCTCACGTTTTAGACACCTTTTAACCAGACATGGACGTACTAGGTTCCGTGTTGGAGAAAATAGCAGACGACTGCACGCAGACTAGAACAAATATGTTTAACCCTGACTAGGAATGTCACATACCAATGCGTCGTATCCAAGCTCGTTCATAAACTTGCTCGTGGCATTTCCGCGGTAAACTCGGTACCACAGTGTTCCTGTAAACACATCTCCTCCAGCAACTAACAGTGTGTTTTTCTCCTGAGATCGAATCTCCTTGAGCATAGTCGCCCTCCGCGCCACTCCACCGAAGCACTTTCCAGCCTGTGCATTTCTGGGGTAACAAAGAAAGCCGTACGAGTCTGTTTCTTCGAATCGCCCGTGATTGTCGTTTGTATGTAGAAGCGTTAGCGAAAAACCCTGTACCTCGTAGAGTACAAACGAAAACAGCAGGGCGGAAATGATCGCTTTGGCTGTAGTTTCATTCATATCGATCGCAATGGGAGTAGGCAGTGACGAGATATAGCTCGAGATGGTGTCACTTCACGGGGAATATGGTTTCGGTTTACAATTATGCGCGCCAAAAAGTTAACAAGTTACGTCAAGCTCATTGGAGACACACAAAGCCAGCCTGAAAGAAAAAACAAAGACAGTGCCAGGGTATTGTCAGATCCAGTGCGTACGATAAGATAAAAAGAAGAAATAGCGTCTTGCCTCACCTTCTGGTTAGCCTTTTGAAACTTATTGCCACGGTAAAACCAAAAAAAAAACCAAAAAAAAAAACCATTGCTCTGTCTCATCAGAGAAGTGAGTTCGTTCTCTCCGGTATTCTATAGCTTTGACAAAAAACAATAACGAATACGATAATAAACTTATTGTGAGGCATACCTTTGTTATTTAAATTCTTAAGCCATCAACACACATTTACAAAATGACTGCTTTGTAAGATGAGGAGCACTGGACGTGCTAGTGCTCATATTCGCTACAAAGGTACAATTGAACCCTCGAACTCTTAGGGGAAACCAAAAATGCCTTGAGTGGGAGATTCGAGGAAGCCGAGAGTAAACGCTGTGGGTACATGTCTGGCAGCCGGACAGGTTTTTTAGAATACTCCGTGTCCGGCAGTTAGACTTAGAAATTTTATTAAAAAGTAAAACACCGTAAAAACAACTGTAAGACAGGCGACCCCAAGAGGATTCGAACCCGGGTCGCAGGCATGGCAAGCGATACGCATGGCAAGCGATACGCATGACCACTGCGTCACGGCAACCGGCCGGCGAAATTAGGAATTTTTTAACGGTTTATCGAGTTACCCTTAGCATTATTGAAAGCTAACTGTAAACAGGCTAACCGGAGAGCCATTTAGGCTAACCGGAGTGCTATTCAGGCTAACCGGAGTGCTTTTTAGGCTAACCGGAGTGCTTTTTAGGCTAACCGCAGTGCTTTTTAAATGGTTTAAAAGGCATATCCAAAGAAAAATGTTCTGAGTTGGAGGTAGCGGGGAATTCGAGAACCGAGTTTCAGATGTAGCGAGGTTCAACTGAACATCGTAAGATGCCTTACCAAGACGTCGGAGCCTATTTCCTTATTCGCGGCGAAGTGAAACGAATTAGCATTAAATTTAGTCAGGTAGTAAATAGTTGCATGTCTGGAGTTCTCGTCCAATGATGTTTTATATCACAGTTATTTTCTGATCATGAACGCTTTTGTGTAACGATAAACGTATGACCTTGCATGTTGATAGTATAATTCTTGACCTGCCACAAGTAATGGAGAAGAGTTGTCAGTGCTGACCGAGCTAAATGAAATGGACCAAAACGGAAACAAAAATTGGCCATCATTTCTGTCCTAGTATATGTCCCTAGAAGGCGTGTCAAACATCTCGAAAGGCCGATTCAAAGTGTTTACGTGGAAAAAAAAGTAAAAAAAAAAAAAGCAAAAAAAAAAAAGCAAACAAACAAAAACAAGGGAGTTGCCCTCCATCCGGGGTGACCCCGCGAGGGCCTCCAAGCCAATTGTGTGACTTTTCATGCAAACGCGTTCCTGCAATAGCCGTTTTCCAGGATATTTCACGCACAACGGAGACTGAAAAAAATAAGCCCATAAATTCTGAACCATTCTGGTAACTAAGGCTTCTCCCAGCTTTCAAAGTCATCAGTTGAAACAACCTCGCTTTTGCCATAATTCTGCCCAATATAATCTCCAGTGAGCACGAATTATTCTGGGTTAAGAAATGTCTGAGTCTTTTCCGTAGCGGGGGGTGGGGGGTAGGGGGGGGTGGGCACGATATGGACTGTGAACTGCCCAATAGCGGGCTGCAGGGACTTGGGTACTGTACTATAGAACGGCAGATGGGCAGATGCAGGGATCTCATGGAGCGCGAGGGTTCAATATTCCTGCAATACTGCCTTTTATTTAGCACCGTACACCAATAGTAATATTGGTATTAAAAACCGCCGGCGTCTATCATCATCATCATCATCTTTATTTAAAACACGGTAAATACATCAGGATTAACAATTTAATATAAAAGCTACAACCGTTATTACGAAAGACAAATGTCAAAAATGAACATTATTAAAAAGTCCACTGCATTGAGAAGGCTGGCCTCAACCTCAATCTGATTTTTTTTGTTTTAGTCCCCTTAATTTATCGGAGTTGGCCTATTGTGTGATGGCTTGTTCATGTGCACCAAGGGATTGTAAAATTTAAATAAGTCGTGAATACAGTATTTTAAGATAATCCAGGAGATCAGTTTTCCCTACGTACTGCCCCGATTGAAAGCACTTATGCGTTTCCACTAAATAGGAAATACGTTAATAAGTTAATTAGCGTCCAAAATAAAATAAACTGTCTTAAATGAATTAAAATAAAACCAGAACGTTACTGAGCCGTTGAAAGCGCCAAATACACGTCAATCGTTTGATTTCTTTGAACGGCTTTCGTTATTAGAGCTGCAAATCATGAAATAACTTGAAAAGTTTAATGTCGAGTGCGACAAAAGCTAGCGAGAGACATCACTTGAGGAACAGCTCTTAATTCAACTTGCACCCCACGCCGATTCAATACCTTATAACTTATTCAGCACATTTGGCTATTTGGCAGGTGGATTTGAGTTGAAACAATGAAAAGTGCACGACAGCTGCGAGGAATGTCCAGCAACAATAAATTCATAAAGCTGAATTACAGCAATGCCGTTTAGTGCGTCCGGAGTCTATGTTATGTGGTGAAGGAGTTTATTCCACTAAGGACATTCACACATTAAAGGAACAACGGAGGTAACGGTTTTTAATTTGAATAATGGCCATTGTTATTTCATTACATTTTTAACTTTGGGTAAAAATTTCACCCTCGCGAAACGCTCTGTTACCAAGTTACGGTCAATTAGCTTATATATTTCAAGGCCGAGGAACTGATATCAAAGTAGGAGGTAAATCGGCGATAATTCTTGTATTAGAGGTTCATATATAAATGCACCTTTCATCAAAGTGGGCCTGCATGTCAGTGAAAATATCTGTCCAGCAAAAATTAGGATGCAATGATATAATTCCCGAGGCACGAATAATGAAATACGTTTGACATATACTGATCAAATCCAGTTATAAACATCAACTGTCTTTATTCCTTCCTCGATCTTTCCTTTGCAGATCTAGGGTTTAGGCCCTTAGTTCCGTTAAATCCTCGAGTAAAGAGCGAAACGCCTTATTTTAATTAGCTCCTCGCTGCTTGCGCTTGCAGTAATTCCGCGCGGGTTTCTTTCGTAAGAAGAGGACTACAGTGAAGAGTAGGGTGCGATGCTTAGTTAGTTTTAGTTTATCGGTAGTTTCAGGTTGCTTGCGAGCACTTTGCCTNCAATTGATCTTTCTTTACCATATTTAAACAAACTTTTTGGTCCATATTGAGGGTACCATACCACCTTAATTTATTCCAGTTGCAAAACTTAACAATTTCCGTACTTGATCCCGGGATATCTGATCTAAATATGGCATATACCATTAATTTTTCCTCCAAATTTCCTGTGTCTCGTTAATTTTTTATCTAAATATCCCGTATCGTTTATTTATTATATATTTACGTATCCCGTTAATGAATTGTATATGCAGTAAATGAATTGTAATTATATATTCATTGTATTTGTAAATCCTGATGAATATTTACCGTGTATCAAGAAAGATTAAAGAAAGAAAGAAAGAAAAATTATCCCGAACTCAGCTGAAACGTACTTCGAGTTTTACTATCGCTGTGTTATTTTTTCCGAAGGAGTCGTCTACTCACTTCCGCTTGTTGTTTTGTGAATTCAGCATGGAAAGCCGATCCAGTCCTCGCTCTCCAATGCTATCACCACGGTCAAGTTCTTCGATAAACAACCTGCAGTCTGAAGTGATGAGAACAAAGCTGTTAAAAAGTCGCTTGTCGGCATGGAAGAAACAGAGCGGTACTAGAGATCCCTTGCCGCCACCTAGGAAAATATCGTAAGTGTCAGATAACATTTGTTCCCTCATGTTCTGTTGTCCCTGGGGATAGGTACGAGAAGAGTGAGAGGCGGCGGGAATCGGGGGCGCTTGCCGATTTCACGTCGCAACCAACTCATTTCCAATTTTCCCGGTTATTTTATGCGCCCCCCACCCAGGATGTATCTTTGAAGATTGATGCCCATTACATCTGGCCAATCTAATTAAGTTCTTCATTAGGGAGAACAGTTTGGAGAGACATTCAAACAGTGGTACCTTTAATAAGAGAGTTCTTAGAGACCAAATAACTTTTCTGTTTTGCTCAACGTACGAGCACTTTATTGTCATCTTGTGATAATGCAATAGCTATCATTTCCTAATTATTTTATGATTTTTTTCTCATTCCTGTTTACTTCCACTACTCAACAACAACAACAACACGAACAATAAGAGCAACAGCAAACAACAACAAATTTATTCTATCAATCAGAAAAGTAAACTTGTTCACGCCAGCGTGCTTCACCTAGCCGTGGAGTACTGGATCGAGTTCCTTCGGTTGACGTGACAACAAAGCTCCGCTTTTATATTATTGACAAAGATCAACTTTTGTCTTTTGAAAATCCTCGAAATTCAGGCAAACATGGCCTCCAAGGCGATGAAAAAGAAAGAATCTAAAGAAAGAGTTGCTTCTGCGGCTAGAACTATACCAGAGTAAGTGAATTTGGTTTGTATTTCAATCTGTGGCAAGCAAAATTTGCGCTCAGCTGGCGTATGTGTAAAATAAGGGAACTCTAGTTTTCCGACGATCGGGTCCATTTCTGACAAGTTTATTTGTATTATAGCGCTGAAGATTGCTATGAAATTACTCAAAATTGTACTTTCGATGTAGTTTTCACTTTATTGCAAATTGAAGAACAGCTAATGCTTTGGTAGCAGTGAAACGTAAAATTAGATTTTATCGCCACCCTGCTCAGCACCATAAGCTTATGTGATGCCCAAATGGCGGCATGATCTCGTGAAAGCTCCGCTAGACACAACAAGTTTTTCTCAATCTTTGACCGAGTTTTATTGTTTATTACCAGCCCATACACCGACAAAACTCTAAACAATGCATTCGCTAAGCTAATTGCTCTCAACTTTTAGAAAATAAATGGAAATCGCCGAGATAAAAGACAATTTCATTTGTGAGCTTATGCACACGGACTTTTTGTACCCAAAATGAGTTACCGCAATTTTCACTCTTTTACTACAGACTCCATGCAGAAAACTCTAATAAACGTTTAGGTTATATCTCATAGTGTTTCCTGTGCATGAAATATTGGTCCTTGACTTCATTTGAGTGTCTCGTTGCGTTTTGTGACGTTGTGCACTAATTATAGGTTGTGGTGTTGAATTCCTTCGGGTAAAACTGGAGTTCGCTCCGTGGACCGTTTCCATGAGAACACCATAATGAAATGAGATTAGACAAAGGGACCATCGTTTAGTGATCGTAAGAGATATTTGGCACGTTATCCAATGAATTCTGTCAAGGAAGGACAGGCTATAATTTAGCTTGCAAACAAACCAGTTCGGCGTTTGTGGAAACTAATATAATTTTGGCATTCGTTTACCGCTCTTGCCAAAAAATTTTCAAAGATGAGTTCGAAAGGACAAACACCTTGGAAAGATCTGAGGCTTGCAACGGTGTCCTCCGCCAAATTCAGGCAAGTTGATTTTTTCTCATCCCAGTCAATAGAGCAGAATTAACACCTGATTGTAGGTTAGGTGTGTAAAAGCGAAGATGCAAAGTTCATTTCAAATGTCATGTGTCACGGATGTTGAGAACCACCAGGTATTGTTTTCTTGGTTTCTCGACGTTTGGTAATCTCTGAAGGCGCCAAGGATTAGCCCAAAAGAATACATTCGGAAAATGGGAAGCTATAAACCATGAGGTTTTCTCTGTAAAGCAGCAACTGTTATGTCAGAGAACACTAATCGATTTTAAAGCTTCGAGATTTCTGCGGATTTAGGCACAAAAGATTCGTACACAACTTGTGTTTGGTTAAGTGGAATATTTACAACCGTGATATCTTTTTACGTTTTCAACAACAAAACTTTTGTGTATCGACAAAAGCATTAATTGAAGAGAAATTTTAAAACCTGTCGAAGAAATTTTGAAATCTGCATGTTTAGTGCATTTTCCAAATATCGGTGAACAATATTTGCCTTGAAATATTTCCAGTTCATGTCAAAACTGGTGACATGTTTGATTAGGCTGTAATAACATACAGTGATAAAGAGTGCAAATACAATCAAAACCGGTGTTTATTGTTTACCTTGGATTCTTTGTGACAAGGCAAACAAAAAACCTTCATAATTGAATATGTACATGAACAATGTCTGTGAATGTACTAAGAAAATGGAATACAGTACTAGGATTTTTTCCGCTTTATATAAAGATTGGCTTGCTGCATAATTAATAAGTAACTAATGGGTTATGTATAACTGTATTAACTTTTTCATGATGGTAGTTGTTTTTGCTCTCCAGGGATGGCTATGTTATATTGTTGTTTCTCTCTCTTAGTTGTTGTCCTGCAGGATCTTGGTACTGATGAACAATTATTTCAAGATGTTTCAATTCCCAAATGACTGTTCTTTACAAGTATAAGTAGGTCGCTCTTTTTTAACACTGGTGAACAACAGAGACTAACAGAGAGTCATTGTGTCTGACATAACAACTTGAACTGTTCTGTGATTGAACTTAATTGAACTCAGTCAAACAAAATGAAACAATTGGGTTTGATTGAGTTCAGCCAGACAAATGGGTACAAATGACAAACTTAAGCCACCGGCCTGGTAGTAAATTTTGTAATACTGTCAGTTCAACATAATTGATTTGCAGGCTAGGGGGACCCTGTTAATTCTGTACTAGGCTGACAGCAATTCAACAGTGACTGTTTTCACTGAGAATTTTGTATTTAGTGTACACACAAATTTGCATTGATCATCAATTTTTCTGTGAAAACTAATAACGGTATCAACATTAATTTTTGCCTAGCAGTTTGACCTCCAACGTACCACAAACATGATTCAACATAAAGTATACTGTAATAAAGCCATGTAACCAATAACCTGTTGCAGTGCTTCATTTAGGTTTTATAGCACTTGAGCAACAGAGGGGCGGTGTGTGGGAAATATCTAATTTGCAAGGCAAGAAGGCTATAAAATTAATTAAAAATATCTTTTCTCACCAAGTCTACTTCTTTTAACTCTAGCATTGCAAAAGGAGTTACAACTTTGACTCTGCATCTTGAATTATTCAAGGTAGAAAAACCCATGACATGGGTCACAGGGAATATTAGGGGTGAACTTTGTCAAAATTGAACTGGATCATGAACTTGCTTCAACACACTGGCGAAAACCTATGTGTAGTTTGATCGATTCTTTTTCATAAATAATTATCTGTCTCAATGGTTGTCAGTAACCAACTCTTTAGTCTTTGAAGGAACTCAGTTCCTAAAGTTATAAACATGTAGTTCACTACATTGAAACATGAAAAATCTTTAGCTGACTAACTCATACTCTAGTTACAAATTGTACAAAACGTTGACTCATTTAACTTGCCTTGCTGTAAATACTCGTAATCTGCCTGCAGACAGCTTCTGTTTTTAGTCACCAGAAGACTTCTAAATCCTGTGAATGCTGAAGATAATGAACACTGTACTTGGTTTGAAACTCAATTCAGATAGGTTATTTTGGTTTCAGTTGAATCAATTTTCAAAATTTGCAATGTCTGGGTATCAATTGCAAAATGAAAATTCTAAACCATCCTGCAAAATTGAAACTAAGTTTTTAATATCAGGTTGTTTCCTCTGGTTCATTGCCACTGAAAAAACAGATTAGTTTCTAAAGAAAATGTTGTGATACAGGATTAGAACTGTTAATGACACTGCCTAATGACTGTCTGGTTTTGTTGTTAACTAATTAAGTGCATTCCATACAGTACATGTACTGGTTATTGAAAATACTCTGTTGCAAACCTCCCCTAAGTTACACAGTATCCTCGTATGAAAGCACTTGAACTTGCACAATTTTGTTGGTCTTTAGTCGTCCAGTTAACAAAACTTCATTCATCTTGCATCAGAATTTTGCTGGAGACATATGTAAATTTGTCTTAGCTGTTAACATATTTCTAACTAGTTGCTGAATTGTTGAGTTGCTAAGATACACTCACTGTTCTAAAATCTACAGTTAACAGTAGTCTTATTTGTTGAGTATCAGTGTCTTCAAGAGTCCCTGTATCAAACACAGACTTGTGTATTTTGTAATCAGTTTTTACTCAAAATGGCTAGTTTGCTTAATCCTGGATACACTAGAACACGAAGGTGATACTACATTGCATGTTTGTCCTGTTGGTTGGTGTAATTTTACGTAGATTTTATTGTAGGACTTCCTGAATTACCAGATCACTTTGATTCATTGATTTAATTTTTGCAGATTTGTGTTTATGGCATACCCATTTTATCCTTGTATTGAATATGTTTATTGAAACAAGGAATCTGTTCAGTTCTCTACATTACTGGTATTGATTGATTATGACTGTACAGTTTGTACCTTCTCAGAACAATGTAACACTTACGCTGTAGTTTCGTTTTAATTGACTTCTAACCTTTGCTTACTTGAGACATAATTTCTTGTGTTGTTTTAGGCAATCCACTGCACCTAGTGTTGTAGGATCACTAAATGAAAAAGATGAAAAAAGCAAGAAGGCCAAGCTACCCATAGTTATTTGGCCTGAATGGACTGAGCAGGACATAAATCAGGAAAAATGGGTAAGTCAATTTGAAAGAACATTAAACTGGTACCAATAAATTAGCTTGAATCAGGAGAGTGCATTAGATATGGTGGAGCAAATATGGTTTGAGCAAGATGAAAGGTATTCCTATTCCATGGCAACCCTAAGAGTAGCAATTACCAAGATACTGAGTAATTCGAATACTTACCAAGTCCAAGTCCTTTCCCAAAGAAGTAAATTCAAGTATGACACCACATCTAAAAGCATTAAAGTTTATATTAAAATTATGCCAATTGTACATGATTTGTACCTTATAGTTGTTACATGTAAGTTCTGTAAACATGTAGTACTGGACATAAGTGATGCAGGCCCCACAGTTTGTATAAATTTACCTATTATTTTACATTTACGTTTGTACAACTGGAGCATGACTATTACAAAAAGTCTTTTCTCAATGCGTGGTTCCAGAAAATATCCATACCCACCCTTAGGAGGCTAGGGTTGTTGGAAATTCCAAAGGGAGGGGGTTTCAAAAGCCCAAATTTTTAAAGGTAAGTTTAAGTATGAACCAAAACCAGACTTTCCAGAGGGATTGAGGGGGGGGGGGGGGTTACAACCCCCCCAAAAAACCCTGGGGAGGGGCATGAATATTTTCTGTGATTATAACACATTGCATCTCATATACCATGACAGAATTGGCTAGCATTGAATGTTACTGATCTTTGCTTTCTTATGTTCCAGGATACAGCGCACAAAGCAAAAGAAAAGGAAAAAGGGAAAAGTCCAAATCTGGTGAGTCAAATGAACAATCTTCTGTTCATAATAGTGTCTGACTTGCAAAGAAATGTCTGTGGGTTGAAAACTTTGAACTCATGCCTTATCACACCTGACCTATGAAACAAAATCTCTTGCCAAGCTGAAAAAAAAAAACTTTTCATGAGCTGAACCTAATACCTTGAATTATGTATGAAAAGTTATTAGAATCATAAATTATTATTGTAATTATAAATAATCGACAATTTACATCTTTTTTACATCCCGTCTTATCTTGACTGTTACAGCATCCTTATGAAGACCCTGAAGGAAGGGTAGATTTACCAGCTTCCATAAAATGTAATGTGGATCACTGGAAGAGACCTGTTGAGTTTATACTGGATAAGGTACACGTACCACAGGCTTATTTCTGTTCAATATAGTTAAATGAATTATTAGCGCAAAATTATCTTTAAACTCATTATATCAATCAAACTAATGAATTCTATTGCTAAAGGTCTTTTACTAATAAAATTATTTTCATTTTTTTCTCTACAGACACCAGTTGTTGTAGACCCAAAGAGTCTGACAGAGGGAGTCGACTTGCTTTCTGTGAACGATCATTTGACGAACAGTGAGGTATGTGAAAGTGAAGAATGATCATCGCAGTTACTTTTCCAATTTAAGCAATTGGAAAGAAGAAGCCTGAAAAAATTAGGGCTTCAACGGGATTCGAACC